TACAAGATTGTCGTAATGACAATCATTTGTAAATTAATTATTTATTTATTTATTGTGTAATGACTTATTGTACACATATTTGCCGACTGTTTTTGAACATGTTTGGTTTATGATAAATCTGAGTATTTAAATAAATGTGTAAAATTATTGTGTTGTTACAAGTTTAAGTTTTAAATACAGAAAGGACCACAGGTTCATTTACCTGTCTGAAATTTTAATGACTACTTTTAAAAGGAACAAAATATGCTCTAAAATCGACCAAGTTTTGTTAATCTCGTCTAAGTGAGACAATACAATTTGTCTCAACAACCAATAACAATGAAAGTGTTCGTTTTTGCGAAATAGTGAAAATACTAAAGACAACGTTTATTTAGAAGTCTCAGTACTTTCACATTTTACAAAAACAGATTATCACTATATTCTTCGAGTTAGTGCCTATCTGCATAAAAATATCTGGGGAAAAGAAAACTTTGAATGTATGAAAGGCAGACGGTATCTGCTCATGAATAATGCAAATCTACAGCTGATGTGACTGACGAATCTCTGGTCAAGTGGTCGAAAGTTGAACGGGGGCAACAAGTGTTTGATTCATAGATCTTACTGTGTATTATTCAGCCCCAGCGAATAGTACATAAAACTTTTTTAGACAGAACTAATTAGCCAAAGCTATGCCAACGATTCGGCCAGTAGGAATAAGGAAAAGCCGTTACGTATTAATAAAAATAAATCAATATCAAGCGTCAAGCCATCGTCTATAATTCAAATACTTAATAATATAAATAAGTAAGTGTTCAGGAATGGAATTTTCCTGCTTCCTATTTTCTCTTTACGATTGTCTGTGGTAAATATGCATTAGTCTGTGTAACCATAGTGTTTATTTAAAAAAGTAGCTGCAGATTATTACTTATACAGGTTTTTAAGATGAATCGGTTTCTCTTATATTACGGAAACATACTATATAATTATATGCAAGAAAATATATAATTATATACCCTTTAAATTGAACTTTTGGTGTTATAGGGCCACATTACACTTAAATGTTACGACACTCGGTTAACCAAGATTATGTTGCATAAATCGTTGGATAATAAGATATTAATAATGTCGAACATATTTCTTTTTCCTATGGCATGTCATGTCCCAAATGGCCGTTGATGCGAGTCGGGTATCACGTAGCCGTAAAACCTGAAACGAATACGCCTGAGGGCACGAGGCACCTTCTAATAGTGTACATACCTCGGCTGTGGGCATCACCGCGGGACTTAACACGGGACAGTTGAGTTAGTAAATATTTTTTACCGGGAGATTCTATTATCGTTGCTCGTCTTTGCTGGCTTAGTCAAGGAAATAGAATTATCACCACAGAGTAAACATATTGAAACAAATCAAATCAAATTAAGAGCTCTTTCCTACCAGATACCTTCTAGACTAACTAACTAGGTTTGACTCGAACCGAGATAAATAATCTACAAACACCCAAACAGAGATCTGAAATTCAGCCACACCGCCAAGATAAGTTACGTAATTTGATGTAGGCGACTTAGACCTCGCCCTTGAATAAGTTACAACTCAATGTAAACATATATCACATTCCTAACTGCTAAAATGTTTAACATTTATTTACACAAACGTGTTATTTGATGAAGACAAGTAATAAGGCTCAAGTTTAGAATAAATACTCCAAATATGTCACAACTTTATGTTAATCAAAAATTCATATGAAATACAAAGGCTGTGTCTATTTTTTCTAAACTTGTTGTGTTATGAAACGAAACGTTACGGTAACTAGTTTTTTGTTTTAATATTCTGGTGACCTCATCTATACAGCAATTGAGTGCTTCGTTGCGTTTGTTTAAATGCGTAGGCTGCATAGAGTATACAGTCTTCATTTTTATTTTTATTCCACATTTTTTTTAAATAAGTTACGCCTTACACTTTATGGTTCCAAAGACATGTTATTAATGCAATTAATTAGCAAATAAAAAAACAAACAGACTGACACAAGAAAAACGTAGATGCATAATTAAACTGCAGATTTTAATTAATTCAAAAATGAGTGCATATAAATTCTGTTTGGCAAATTATTTTGCATTTTACGATGCACAAATGTCTGTTATTACTTTTGCATTATAATTATTAAATAATATTATGAAACAACCTAGCATGAATCTATTGACAGTGACATACTAAAAATATTTCCTGCACATTAAACTGCTTTAAAAAGAAAAGAATGTCTCGAGGAGGAAACGGAAAAGTGCTTTTCCCAATTACGCGACCGTACTTGACAACGGACTGCGGATGGACGTCGAGGGGAGATGAGAAGAGGGGGGAGGGAAGGGGAGCGTCCTCCAACAAGTCCGCGACCTTGCTGGGTCGATGACCCGCGGAAGATTTTACTTTCCCTACGTAATTACGGCAATGAATCTTCATACTCAGAAATATGAGTAAATCGTGCAATGTTTGTTCATGATGACCGTGTTTTTTTGACCCAGAAAACCTTTATTTTAATTAATATTTTTAGGTGAAAGATATAAGTAGATCACAGCAGATTAGCAAAGTGTGGTGTTCGTATCATATCATAAAAAAAGATTAAAGTTATATAATTAAAAATGATGAAACTTATTCTCGTAGTTCGACCGGATTTGTGGAAATGGACAGACACCTGATTTGAGGACTCGCTATTATTTTTATTTGTGTTAAGCCAGTTTCATGTAGCTATTTAGGTATCTACGCTAAAATCAGTTTCTTCTAAAAAAACATACTTACATAACCTCACGCCTGTCTCCCACGGGGGTTGGTAAAGAAGAAAAATTTTAGAAAGATTTTTTTTAAACACCTTTACTTTATTTGATTATTGAATATGATATATTTCGAACTTTAAACTGTCAAACACCAAGCGGTCACCGGTGACCGCAACCTATTGTTCTATAATTGTGTCTACAAAACCGGTACTCGACGAGTTAAGAAAGATATTAGGTTCGAAATATCTAATATTCATTAATATAAAAAAGCTTTCCCAATTTTCTCCGCTTCGCTTTTCATAGGCCTACTTGCTAAAAAAGATTTTTCTTAGAAAATATACTTAATTTCTTTTTTATTTACTCCATACGTACAGATACCTACAGACGACAAATTGAAATTGAACACTACAATCTTACTTATAAATAGGTAGTGAGTGGACCTGAGGTCTAATACAACTGTACATAACCTACTTGAATTATACTATTCCCAAATATTAATTCCCTTTTCTGTACCAAATGATGTTCAATGGACTACTAACTATACACAACAGCGGGAGTTACTAAAAAGCGAGCTGTTACTTAAATTGTAATTATAATATTTGTACAGCCAGGAATGTCTTCTTGGAATCGACAACCTTAAAATCGCGGTTTACCATAAATTAATATCAATAAAATCCATCAAGATCGTGTGAAGCATAGACTAAATAAGTTCAAGGCTCCATTTTTTATTTCCTTGTACATCACGACAAAATAGGTATTTATTATTTTTAATACATCAATCAGATAAAATAAGATCAGTGGTTTATTTTGTCTTTTAATTTAGTTATTTTAAAGACAAATACGTCTGTTGAGCCGGATTCGAACATTTACGTTCGAAGTCTCGTTTGTCAAGCTTAGAGCCAAAATGGCGAATTTGTCAATGTCCTATTTGTGGTTAGGAGGCTTATTGAAGATGTAAATTATCTTTGATCTATTTCCTTTCTTAACATATAAAGATTGTTACAGAATTTTCAATTTTTAAAGGCTTTCCATAGGTACGTTATGAACCGTAGCCAACCCTTTCTTGATAAATGTGATATTATTTCATACTAGCGACCCGCCCCGGCTTCGCACGGGTGCAACATGCATGTGTTATACATATAAATCTTCCTTATGAATCACTCTATCTATTTAAAAAAACCGCTTCAAAATCCGTTGCGTAGTTTTAAAGATCTAAGCATACATAGAGACAGATAGACGGCGGACAGCGACTTTGTTTTATACTATGTAGTGATAGACAAAGTGTATAATAGGGTAACGGATAAAATGCCTTTAGTAACTTCGGGGAAAAACAGATGTCACGTTATGTTAATAAAATAAAATATTAATAGATTACTTAATGGCGGATCCTACTATAAATTAGTAATTATACCTAACATAAATTAGAAAGGATTCCGATGACCCATAGCTTTATATTCACTCGTGTTTTACCTACTTGGCGAACTGGAAATTATGTAGGCATAGACATAATATTATAGCTTAGTGCAGTCTATTGAAGTCGCAAACGTATAAACTGAACTGCACGAAGGTATTCATTTATTTTAAACGACAATCATTTAGTTTTGATGGTCGAGAAGCTTATTTGACGTAAACAGTCGATACAATATTGTTCTATTTACGTAATTGAATGCAGACACCAATTAATTTTTACCTTAATCTACATCATTTCCGCAATTTATGCATATTAACAAGCTATCCATAATCAACAAATCACATAAACCCAGAAAAATCACATCGATTCATTAATTTTTCGCAACCGCAATGCGATTATCAATTCCGATATAATCGATTCGTTACATAAAGATAATCGGTTAGTCGTATTCGAACAACATTGACATCAATGAACCTGTTCCACTATTTATATCGATTCTAATTCATTCGCGATGAGTAATTATACTTGTTTATTTATTGTTGCCATGTATGATGTTGTTTTGACGTATGCTTGAATAAGAGCATAGGTAAGTTATTTATGTTTCTAAGTGTTTACTTCACTTTATGGGTAAGGACAGACGATGTTTTATATCTGATTTGCATCATAGCGAACAAATACATGAGAAAAAAAAATAAGTTTTCTTTACAGTATCCTTGGGTTTAGCACATTGTTAATGTCACTACAATTTTAATAATAACATATAGGTAAAGCCTTTTTGATACATTTAATGTGAAACATTTTGAATCCTAATAATATATCACGCAAGGTATATAATCAAATGTACTTACTGCTAGCGCATTTCTGGGGGTTGGGGAGGGAGAGGAAACGTCCAGGTTTCTGTGCTACTGCGAGGGTCGCAAGCGCAGCCGCGCACGCCACCAACAACCACGCCTGCATCTGGAACAAGATAAATATATTCTGTTAATACTTCAAGAATAATAAAAGTGTTGGAAAACTATTTTCTTGGACACAAATATATGAAGGGAATGAAAATTTGCAACTCAAATAATAAAAATTTCAAAGAAGCGCGCCAATGCTTCATATCACAGATAAAATTAGAAATCTTTTTTGTTCTTACTTATTTCTTGCAAAATTATTAGTGGCCAGCATCAATATATTGACTACCGAACATACAATCTTTTTAATCTATATTCTTTGCGACCAAAATTATTTATTTTACATTGTTTTTTAATAAACATTATTGTATTTTTATTTATTTAGATTTTTAGTGGTTAAAAATATTTATAGTTTCATGCGAGTTAAAAGATTCACAATGATATAACAGCAAGATGTTATGGGTCCCATGTAATAGGGGGTGAGACTATTGCCTTACACCGGGCACAATTTCAGACTCCGTACTACTACTAAGATTTTTTAAAAACGCAGTAATACTTTGCCCTATCCGGGAATCGAACCCGAGACCCCTAGCCCAGCGGCAGTCGCACTTGCGACCATTCGACCAACGAGGCAGTCATTTACAATGAGTTTCAATCAAACACATAGTTCACATTGTTCTCGAAATAGTAACAACAAAAAAGAATCTGTAGAAACATCGACTTGTACCTGCTAAGACCCACATATCTAAAATTTCGTAAATATATCATAAAAAGGCTACAAACAGTCGAACAATAGTATTCACATTCACAGTTAATTGCAACTGTTAGCCCATAAATCTAATTATGACGAAAACATGGCAAGTTCTTATCTTATATGTAACGTAATCGGACAGAAATGCTGGAGGCATACGTGTGACATGCGCAGTAACACCGGTCCATTGGGTTATGACTAAAGAATGTATTGCATAAATAAGTTCTGTTGAATACAGCACCTTTGTTTTTTTTTTATTTATTTGCTGTATAGTGATCACTATAATCTCAAGTCTGGTACGCGTGGAGATTACAGCCAAATATGGAGAGAAATCCAGCAGTGGATTTTTACAGTGCTAACAGCAGCATTAGCACATAAGTGCTTGCCCTTTATTGGAACAACCATATACAGATTAAATATCCAGAAAAAAATATTGTATTAAATAATATAATTAACATAACATTAATGAGTAATTCGACTGTTTGTTAACGCTTAGTCGGTGTGTTACGTTCGAGTATTTTGAGTCAAATGACATAACGTAGTACAAACATAGGACCACGCCTGTCTTTTGGCGATTTTTTATTGACTTTGATATTTTGCTCATGTAGAATGTTAAACTACTTATGAGTAGTTAGCTAACAAAACATATACATTTCATTTTTTCAGAACTTGAAAATGAATGAAAACTCTTTACGAATAATGCGTCTACATCACATCGTGTATAGATTAAAAATGTAGTCGATTACGAACTCCTTATTTAAAAACTCTATGGTACTAATAACATTTATTTCTTACGAAAGTTACTGCGTAATTAGGTGAATCGTGTTCCATTTAAAGATTCGCTGTAATGAACTTGACATGCCAACAAAACGCTATTCAAATATAAATAATCAGCTGATTAGTCTAATTCCACTTGACCTTAAACATCTCAATGTCTTAATTAAACATTTTTAATCTAAACATTAATTATCTATGTCGTCATTTGATATTCTAGCGTTCAAATATTACCTACATGACATGTCTTAGAATTTCGTCACTAATATTCTAATTATTTGCTTAATTATTTAAAAATGGAAATCCTGCATTCTATGCATTCGATTTTTATTCATTTAATAAAAAAATATGCAGCTGGTCAAAATAAAAGTGAATAACATATAATTGTTGTATAATTTAAAATTTTGATTTGTTTTTTTTATTATTTTTAAAACACCTGGCGCTCTGACACAGATCCTATTTAACAGGTTAATTCTACTTAATTTTTACCTCACGATATTTACGTCTCCAATATATTATTTCTTGTATTACAATCTGCCAACAGAGGTTGCATGCCAAAACAAAAACACGAGCTTACATAAGAGCGTTGTCTCCAAAATTCAGGCTTTAATTCAGGTCTGTGACAGTGAGTGACCGGGGCACTGGACCGCATTGCGTGTCGTGTTGAGTAACCGAACCTTTCCGATGCAACTACATACGACATGTTACCTACAGTACAGTATAATTATATAATAAGTAGTTCACTAACCTTTATTATGCGTAAACAATAACTTTGTCGCATATCCTTGTTCGCTGTCGGTTACCGTGCCGACTTAATACGTGCCTAGCGTAAAGTTTACTCAATGATGTCATAGTATCGCTGTAAGCATGTACTACCGAACGCAGGATTGTTTTAGTAAAGCCCGCCAGTTGTCACATTGGTCAACCGTGTTGTTCTCTTACGTAAGTCAAGTATGCCGTCTGACGAGTCTCAGTGACATCGCTTTGGGCCACCGCAAAGTATGCAAGCCAACCAAAAAACGCGAAGAATCTTTGACCTAATACCTACTGATCAACGTACGTTTTATGGAAAAGCCATTAAGATTTTCTCGAAAAACCAAAACAGGATATTCGTTAATCAAATAACAATCGGAAAATACCTATTCGCGATTAATTCTCGCTAATTCTTATTAACATACGGCATGCTGATGTTGAATCAATGAGGTAAAGTCTGCGTAAATAGTGTTGAATAGATCGTGCTGTTTACCCGGAATTGTCTGTTGTCAGGCGGAGCGGAGGTTCGTACCGCGCAGACGCCCAGCGTGACATACATCTCTACAGCTAGACGTACCTGATATAACCTTGACACCATTACCGCCATGACCGTAAGCAGTAATTGCAATCTGATCTCATCAATACACTATAGGACGCGTCAGCACGATCGGTAAAGGCAAGGACCGTCATGCAATCTCAGGGTTCCACTTAATTAACTTCCTCAACCTAATATGGATTTTATGCATCATAAGCATTTTATCTCCGATGTGCAATTACCATAAAAATAATTTTAAAAGTTTCGGAATTGAATTAAGCAATTTTGAATTTAATTAGTATTAAAAATATTCGCGATGTGTACTTAAATGAAAACGCAAAAAGAGCCGAATTTAAAAAGAATATTCCTTGTTATCAATTTGTTTTTTGACTGCCAAGAACCAAGATAAACATCAACAAGTAACCAATAAATAATGATGACTCCTCTGTAGCCATAGTAAAGTCTTTATGTATTATGAAAATCGGCTTACATATGCAACAACTGGTAAAGATAAAAAGGTAATTTATTCCACGAAACAAAGCTGTTTGTATACAATACTTAATAGCGTATCATTACAGATAAATAAACGTCTAAGTGATATTAGATAAATATCAAAGACCTGACCTCAGTTGGGCAACACACACTTATAGGCAAAGACTCGTGTGTAATACCATTATTACATACAATAATAGGATGAATGGGGAGTTCACAAAGCGCCGAAGGTGTTCGAGTACGATCGTTAAACAATACCTGTTCTATACAACAGTTGAATGGTATTCTTCGCGAATCTGTGTCCCAATCGCGAATTTAGTGCGAGACTTGCAGCCACAATGTTTCTACGAGATGTTTCGCAATGCCCGAGGCCGATCGTCCGTCAGTTTCGGTCACGATCGTGCACCTTCGTGCATCTCAGCCGCGTCTAGCTTTGCCAAGCAGTGGTGCCCTCCAGTCACCACTCGCTCTATTGTTTCGTACTCACGTCGACTTAATTTGGTTAATGACAGCAATAAATAATAACGTCGGCGACATGTGCCACGACTGTGTCGTTACGAAGCACAAATGTTTGCCTATAAATTCAGTATTAACTCGAGAACACGCAAAAAGCAAAGGTTTAAGTTATTAGACAAATAAATATTGGCCTTTGTGGTTAATTCATGCGATCTGGAATTAGTATTGTTTACTAATGCGAAATCACACTGGAACGTTAACATGTTAATTTAGTTGACATTTTTATGCAATACGACCGTGAAGTTATGGCCCTTTGGGTGTCAGTTTAAGAGAACATCCTTGTGATATAAAAAATTATATGCAAACAATGCAAAGTCAAAATCAAAACATTAATTTCAATTAATTCATAACTAGGCACTTTTGAAACGTCAAATTGATCTAACAGTGAAGTTAGGTACTCGTTCCAAACTATACCTCTAGTTTCGAATGGAGAACAACGAGCAAGAAACTCCATCATTAGGTACTCTTTTTACTTATGCCTCTAACTTATACTTTAAAGAACAAACAGCCTTCTTTCCCTTACAGAGTACAAAAAAAGACAAATAAACCAGAAAATCATAGATTGTAGTTAAACCACTTCATATATAAAGTCCTTATCAATATCACCACCAAAAGCGAAAGCCTAACATCATAAATACGTTTTCCGTATTCATATCGTACCGGCCTCGTCTTTAATACACGTCGTACTTATTCATCGAAGTGAAATTTTTATTGCTACCTACGTAACAGACATCCTTGTCTCCTCACTTTACTATACCTTTTACATAACACGAATAGACAAGATATTATCATTGAAATTATCTCTGACCCGTCTATTTACTTTAAGACATCTGAGTATTTCTTGTCTAGATAGACAGAACATTGTTGTTTGCTAACTAATAATCGTGGATTACTCACGTGAACATACTGAAAAAAGTTACTACTAGTTTTGAACCACAGAGAGGTTCTTCCTCATGAGCAGCGTGAGCGGTCGCGGAGCTGTCGTGCAGCCTACTACTTGTAATCCGCGTAAACCGTGATTTTTTAAAATTTAGTATGTCTCACGATTGTTATTATAAAAAACATTGTTCTTCGCCTTGGAAACAAGAAGATATGTACTAGTTAGGCAGTTATTTATTTTCTTTGAGGACAAGCTACACTTCTGAAACTCCTGTAAGTTAAGAGAAACAGTGGGGGCCAGGGAGAAGTAACATAGTATCAGACTGTCTGTTCTTGGAATTCAAACCAAAAGTAACGATTT